GCACTTAGTAACCTATGTGGGCCAAAGTAGAATTAAGATTAAGTGATATAAGTTGTAAGCCAAATAGATTAGCTCATCTTGAAACAAAGATGTGAAAAATGGTGAGACAAGCAACGTGGGAAACCTACGGGGCTAGAGATGGTACCTATATACCTTAGCTTGAGTGAATTAGAATGGGTAGCCAATTATATAAAGAGCTGAGACTGTAGCAAATGAACATAAAAAGAAATAATAAAAAAAAGAATAGCAAGAGAAGGTAGAACTCGGAGGGATCGAAAGAAAAATAGTAAGAGTCAATTTTAAGGTGAGTTATATTATACATTGACTAGTCATAAATTATTTTATTATTTTATAAATTATTTTATGCAAATCATGCTTTTTTTAATTATATTAACATTCAATTATGTTATTCATTTTATGAGCCCTACTTATTTAAAATTAAAACTTATGGATATGATTGTTTAAATTTTAGAATTTATTTGACAATGAGTATATAACCATTTATTTTTATAAGTACCACTCTAGAGGTCCCATGTCTTGGGAGACTTAAATAACCATTGGCCATTTGAATTGTCAGTTTAGTGACCCTCTGACAGTCCCATGCCTTGGGGGACTTAAATAACCATTGACCCTCTAATTAGTCACTTCGTGACCCTCTATCTATCATGGTTCCATTGATCCTCTGTTCTGTTCTGTTCTGTACCGTAGTTATGATTGTTTTGCATATAGGATTTTTGTATTATATGTCTATTATTTAAAATAATTTATTCAACCCAAACTATTCATTATTTAGCCTAAATAATTATCCATGGTGATTTGTATACCCTTATGCTCTTAGTATAATATTCCTCACTCTACCATGTGCTTATAGCTATTAAAACCCTTTCAGGTGAAGAAATTTAAGAAAGAATGATTTTACCCCAATTAATTAGGATCCAGACTTGAGATGAACATCGTGTTTTTCTTTTTCTTTTTTTTTTCTTCTTTTTCTCTTGTGTTTATTTGTAATTATTATCAGACTTATGTTACATAAATAATGATTCTCATGTACACTTCAGATATTTATTTACACCTTTTATTTCATTCCACTGCAATATTTAATTTAGTTACTTCAAACTAATCTTAAAAATTTTAGAATTTAACTAGTTGTAAATCCAACCCTAGGCACAGGGGGTGGATCGTGACAAAACTGGTATCAGAGCTAGGTTATAAAATAATAATAATAAAAAATAACCCTATTGAGGTAGAAGATATGCGTACTATTAGAAAATAGGATAACAAAAATTTTAAGTTGTTAGGATACATTAGCCATTGTGGGTATAGTTTCTTATTCGTTCCATAATTGAGTTTGGGCATCCTGTTGTGCAAGAAATGTTGAAACTCAATTTCGGTGACTCTATTTCATACGGACCTGATCCACCGGAGTTCAAGAGGATTGTTGAGAATAATAGCTATGTCCCAGACCTGCCAGAAGGAATGAAGGACTTTGAGGAAATAGTTAGACATGCAAACCCAACCTTGAACTAACTAATGGGTAGACCGATATACCTACGGGCAGTCCCCATGGAAGTAGAACTACTATGATGGAGGATTAATGACATGAGTACAGTAGACAGGTTTCTAGGGCCGATAGGGTATTAGGCATAGACTTAGGACAAGCGTACCCTCACTTCTTAGTGGCAACCTTGCCTCCAAAATTTGTGGCTCAAAAAGGGAATGCGTTTTTAAGTGACCATCTGCGAGCAGGAGTCCCTCCTCCTCAAGACCTTATTGACACCCAAACGGTTGATTTAGTGATTTTATGACGTATGTAGAAGTGCCAATACGTATAACGGGACGTCAACTATGGGGTTACGAGGTAAGAATTCCCATTTACCGAGTGGAGGTGGTATGGTTAGGCTTTAGGATTGAGCAAAGTGGCTGGGAATTTAAGCACCATATGCGGCTAGAGTTCCCATGGTTATTTCCAGTTTAAAATCCCGCGAATAAAATCCTTTCTTTTGTTGTTTTCTTTTTATTTTTTTTGATGTACAAGTGAGCTGATCATGACCCAATTCTAACTCGTTTTGTCATAGAGGGTTACTACTAGTAATGTACCAACACCATTATGCATAAATAAAACATGTGTTTTTGTGTATAATGTTTTTTGAACTATGCTTAATTATGTGAAAATAGTAGGTAGATGATAATTAATAGAAATCATGCACCACGTTTATTGAAACTATTACTGTACAACTATTGTTAACAATAGAAATGGTACCGGATCATCATCCAGTGGAGCCGATCCAATGGAAAAGATTATGGAAAGATTTGTTGCTATTTTCTTGCAAGTTTTGCAGAACAATGTAACCAATGTATTACAGGAGCATCGCAAAGGGCCAACTACGATTAAACAATTTCAAGAGTTGAAACATTCCACGTTCACAGGAGACTCGAAACCATTGCTAGCTGAAGCTTGGGTTAAAGAAATGGAAAATATTTTTTGTGCTCTACCCTGCACAAAAGAACATAAGGTGTCCTTCGCCACCTTCACTTTTAAAGAGGATGCGTAAGAATGGTGGCTTCTCACCTTAGTAAAGGAAAAGATCGTGACTTGGGCTAGATTTCTAAAAGTATTCTATGAAAAATACTTTCTAGAATCACTACAGCAGCAAAAGGCATCGGAGTTCCTACATTTGAAGCAAGGAACGATGTCCGTAGCAGAAGGCAAAAGTAAGTTCACCCGACTGGCACGATTTGCAACATATGTTATTCCAACTGAAGCTCGGAAAGCTAGGAAGTTCGAAGCAAGATTGGATGCTGAAATCAAAGATAAGATCAAGGTTTTGAAACTACCAACCTATGTGAATGTGGTAGATCGGGCATACATCCCTGAGAAAGGAATTAAAGCATCACGTTCAGGCGGAATAGGTCAAAAGAAGTGATTTTGGGAACTAGTTGGAGGATCTAAAGCAGCTCCACCAAAGAAAATGAATATTGGACCTACTGGCTCTACTGGTTTGGCCAATCAAAGTTCTACTATCCCCAGGGGTAGCACCATTCCGAATTGTCTGAGTTGCGGAAAGGTTCATCAGGAACAATGCGATTAGGCAATAGGAGCATGTTATAGATGTAGCCAAGTTGGCCATTTGGTGAAAGATTGTCCAAAATTCACTAACTCTGTGACGGGTACCCTTGAGCCAGTTCAGAACTCGGAACAACCACAAGAAGGAAGAAAGAACAGTAGCCCCAAGGGCAAGCTTTTGCTTTAGCACCTGGAAACCCCGATGCTACGGAGAACGTTATGTCAGGTACACTCTCGATATGTGATCATTTAACTAATATTCTCATTGATTTTGGATCAACTTTCTTTTGTTTCTCCACACTTTACCCCCAAATTGATAGCAACATTTGAACCTTTGGGATATGCATTATCTGTGTCATTTCCATCTGGTACTTCCGCACTTAGTACAGAGGTATACAAGTCCTATGCCATTTTCCTTAAAGATGAAACCTTGTATGTGGACCTGATTCCACTCCACATTAGTAGTTTTAACATAATCTTAGGAATGGATTGGCTTGCTGCCAACCGTGCCTCTATTGACTGTACAACTAAAAGGGTCTTCATCCGATTACCTGACTAGTGTCAACTTATTTTTGAAGGAACTGGAGTTTCTACCCCTCTGTGTTTAATATCCTTCGTGATAGCCCAACGAATTTTGAGAAAAGTTTGTTGTGGTTGTATTTGTTATGTGGTTGACACTCAACAAATAGGCCTAACACTCGATTCAATACTCATAGTTCAGGAATTTCCTGACATCTTTTCTAAAGACTTACTGGGTACTTTAGTTTACCGAGAATTTGAATTCACTATTGAAACTCAACCTGGTACCCAACCGATATTAAAAACCCCTTATCGCATGTCGATGGTGGAATTAAAAGAATTGAAAATGCAACTTCAGGAATTGCTTGACAAGGGTTTTATACGACCAAGTACCTTACCATGGGGAGCTCCAGTGCTATTTGTAAAGAAAAAAGATGGTACGATGAGATTATGCATTGATTATTGAGAATTAAACAAGGTTGCCATCAAAAATTGATACCCTTTGTTGCGAATCGATGACTTATTTGATCAACTTCATGGTGCTCAGGTATTTTCGAAGACTGACCTGAGGTTTGGCTACTATCAAGTGAAGGTCAAAGTCGAAAGCATTGAGAAGACTGCCTTCAGAACATGATATAGACATTATGAGTTTCTTGTCATGCCATTTAGTGTCACAAACGCTCCAACAGCCTTTATGGACCTCATGAACCGAGTATTCAAACCCATCTCGATGAGTTCGTTATTGTCTTCATTGATGACATTCTCGTATACTTTAAAACACCAGAAGACCATGAACAACACTTACGATCAGTTCTACTGACACTACGTGATCACAAACTTTATGCCAAATTAAAGAAATACGAATTCTGGATCACTAGCATACACTTCCTTGGCCACGTGGTTGACAAGAAGGACATCTCTATCGACCCACAGAAGATTGCAACTATTATGGATTAGCCACAACCTACTAATGTATTTGAAGTTTAGAGTTTCTTGGGATTAACAGGATATTATCGATGTTTCATTCAAGATTTCTCAAAAATTGCGTCACTATTGACTCAATTGACCTAGAAAAACGCACCCTTCGAATGGACCAATAAACAAGAACGTTGCTTGCAGTAGTAAAAAAATAGACTTGTGACAACGCCCATATTGGCACTCCTTACTGGAACGAATGGATTTGTAATCTACAGCGATGCCTCATACAACGGATTGGCTTGCGCACTTATGCAAGATGGAAAGGTTATTGCGTATGCCTCACGTCAACTAAAGACTTACAAGAAGAACTCATGATTTGGAATTGGTTGTGGTGATTTTCGCTCTTAAAATTTGGCACCATTACCTCTATGAAGTGACATGCAAAATTTACACCGACCACAAGAGTCTTAAATATCTATTTGCACAGAAGAAACTAAACATGAGGCAACGACGGTTGTTAGAATTTATGAAAGACTATGATGTGAAGATTCAACACCACCCAGGCAAGTCTAACGTCATAACAGATGCACTGAGTCGGAAGACCACCCAAAGCTTGGCATACTTCATCACTGACAATGAATCACTTATTGGAGACTTGGAAAAAATAGACTTGGAGTTGGTTCCACACATGTCTAATGGATTTCTCGCTAATATAGTCATGGAACCTATGATAGTCAATGAAATTAGGGCACGTCAATGTGAGGACAAGCTTTTGAAGAAAAAAATATGATGAGCAAGGAAGTACACCCAATTCCGATTTTACCATAGACAATGGGGTACTAAAGTTTTGAAACCGAATTTTTGTGTATCTGACATTCCAGAAATGAAAAAGAAGATAATAATGGAAGCCCGTAACTTAAGATTCGCAGCTTATCCTGGAAATACGAAAATGTACCACGATTTGAAAGAGCATTATCGGTGGACGGGAATGAAGAGAGACCTAGCAAGCCATGTTTCCAAATGTTTCCAATGTCAACGAGTTAAGGAAGAGCATTAGAGACCTACAGGACTGCTACAACAACTCCCTATTCTTGAATGAAAATGAGAACACATTACCATGGATTTCGTTATTGGATTACCACAATCAGCCTCAAAGAACGATGCAATATGGGTCATAGTACATCAATTAACGAAATCAACACATTTCCTACCCGTCAGAGTCACATATTGTCTTAACAAATTTGCCACTTTATATATCAAGGAGATCATTCGATTGCATGGTGTCCCGGTATCAATTGCATCGTTTCGTATCATAATTCTGGAACAAGTTACAGGCAGCTTTGGGAACAACATTAAAATTTAGCATTGCTTATCACCTATGAACCAATGGACAACCCGAAAGAACGATGTAAACATTGGAGGACATGTTGCGGGTATGCGTATTAGATCTTCAAGATAATTGGGATGAGCACCTACCATTAATAGAATTCACTTATAACAACAGTTACCAAGCAAGCATTGGAATGGGACCGTATGAAGCGTTGTATGGGGGGAAATATCGATCGCCTATATGTTGGACAGAGGCAGGAGACTGGAAGTTGTTAAGTCTAGAAATTGTAAAGATAACCAGTGATAAAATTCAACTCATCCAGCAGCGAATTCGCACTGCCCAAAATCGCCAGAAAAGCTATGCAGATACACAAAGACGGGATTTGGAGTTTCAAGTAGGAAAGCATGTTTTCTTAAAGGTCTCACCAACAAGGGGATCCATTCTCCGTTTGGCTGAGGTCTGGTTGAGGTCCTTACCCCCAGACCTCGGGACCCTTTTGTGCTTTGCCTTGGTTTGTGGACCAGGTCTTGCTTTCTCTTCCCGGAGGAAGGGAGAGGTCTGGTAGACCATCTCTCAGTGGCCGTAGGCTACTTTTCATGGTCGCAGGCCACTGTTCTCGTTTGGAGACCAGTTTTCGGTTTTCAAAGCCGTCGGCCGCGCGCCTCGGTTTGGGACCGCTTAACATTCTCCGTTTGGCACGATTTTTGGCACACACCTTGTTTCCTCTGTCTAGAGGGACACTGCGGCCCGGGAGACCACCTTTGTGGTCGCACGCCACTTTTGGTACTTAACAACTTGTTTTTGGGGCATCCGGTTGCGCGTTTTGACCCCCGAACCCTCGTTTTGCATCCATCTTGGTGCAGTTTTGGCATGGACCTTGTTTTCATTGTTTGGGAGGTGGTACAAGGGTGGGAGACCACATTTCTCCTTGGAGACCACTTTTCTCTTGCCAGCCGATTTTCTTGTCAGGAAGCTGGTCTCTTTGGTCTTTGAGCCATATTTACTAGTCTCCCACCATACCACTAGCTTGCATTCAATGTGGAGACCATCAAATGGGGTTGCCGACCACCTTTCTTTGATGTGAACCTTTTGAAGTGGTCGGCTGACCAAGGGAAGTGGTCGGCCGACCACCTGAACTGGTCGGTCTACTCCCTCCAGTTTTGTCTTTGTGAGTTGTTGCCAGCTGTGCCAGCTGGAAGACACAGACTGCATCCTCCATACACGTGTATGGAGGATCTTGAGCCTTGGTTTTTAGCTTCTTGAAGAAGCTTTGGCCTTGTATCTCTATAAGAGAGGCCCTCCTATTCCTTATACTAGGTTCTGAAGTGGCTCTAAGGGATAGCATATATCTCTCTCTTTGCCTCTATATTTTTGGTTCAAAAGGGTCTTGTTCTTGACCTATTACACCACACCTCATAGCCACACAGCCACACACCTCCACCATTGTTCTAAGGTTCTTGGAGAGTCTTGAGAGGTCTCAAATAGTTGGTTTTGGGCTGGAGAAGTTGCTGCTTTTGCTGAGCTACAAGGGTAACTCATTTTTCCCTCTTTTAAGCTTTATTTTGATCCATCTCTTAGCCTTATTTGCATGCATATTTGAGCTTCGTTGTTAACTGAAAAAAGTCTTGTTTTGAGGTCCTTTTGATGTTTGTTTAAGGTCATTTTGTTGTTAGGGGTCATCTACCCCCTTGCATGTTTCATTTGGCCTTGTTTTGTGCCATGCCATAGAGCCTTTGATTTAATCTTTGCTTGGCCTTCCAACCACTGAAATCCAGTGGATTTTTAGTGGTGAGAATGTGGTTTTGAGGGCCAAAATCAGAGAGGGGTGACCCTCTCTCTTGTTGTCTTGTTTATTAGCATATTTGGCTTTTCAAAGGAGCCTTCATTTGCACACCTCCAAGTCTTGTTTCAGGCCATTTTCAGTGACTTTTAGGGCCTGCCTAGGCTCTTTCCTGAGTTGGTTTTGTCACCTTGGGTGTGTCTCTTGCATGTGTAGAATAACCCCTCTTATAGCCTATCAAAGGAGCATGTCATTCTTGCATGTATTGATCATGTTTCAGTGGGTTTTTGGGTTTTATTTGGCATGTCATGTCTCTAAATTTTGCTGGTTTAGTGGCCTCTTGAATGCTTCATATGCTTGTAGTGTAATCCATATTCACTAGCCCACATTGCATGTTGTTTTGGCCCTTGATTCTAGCATATTTTGGCCTTGTTCTAAACTGACTTTATTCATGATTTGGGCTGCCTTAGCTCTGTTTTGAGGCCTTTTGGTCGAATGATGCTTGCCATGCATACTTGTAGTGTAATATCCTTGTCTAGCTTTGAGTTTTGGAGCCCCTTGCATGCTTAACTTGAGGTGTTTCCATGTCTTGGCATCATTGAACATGTTATTTCAGAGCCTATACTTGTGCCATGTCCCCATGTTTTCCACTCTTTAAATGCATTTGAGAGTTGTGCTTGTATACCTCATTTATGGGCCATTGCATGAGCTTCATTTTTTGTGCATTTCAAGCCATCATCTTAGTCCATTTTGCCACTATTTTGGGCCTGCATAGGGACTGTTTGGGGTTGGTTTGTTCATTTGGGCATTGCTTTGCATACCTCTAGTGTAATGCACTTCACTAGTTTCGGTATTTGAGCCATTCAACATGCATAACATGAGTTGTTTGCATGATTCGGGACCATTTTGTATGTCATTTTAGAGCTGAAACATGTGTTGTTGTATGCCATATTTCATCCTTTCCATGCCTTCATACAGTTGTAGCTTGTGCCCTAGGCTTTGGGCCCTTGCATCTTGCATGTTTGCATGTGTTTTGTTGCCTCATTTTCATCATGTATGGCCACTGATTTGGGTGTGGCTGAGGCCCATTCATTTTGGTTTAAGTCCATTTTGCATTGAGTATGCCATTGTAGTTCATAGCATTTAGTATGCCGCGTTATCGCATGTTTGATCATTGCATTGCGCATGCCTTGTTCACTTCATTGTGTATGATAGTCTTCACATGTGCATTGTGTATGACATATAGTATCATGTGCATTGAGTATGCCATTGTTAGTTCGTAGCATTGCGTATGCTAGTTTCATGTTTGCACATCATCCTTTGCATGTTTGCATGACTTGGTTGCATCGCCTTAGGATTGCATGCTTGAGGTCGCATTGTGCATGCCATTCTACTTGTTGCATTGTGTTTGGAATAGGAGTTAGTCCAAACACGGGAAATGAGGGACATTTCATACTCCAAGTGATGAAACGTGCCCCGATTCTCGGTCGCTGACACTCTTGACTAACACATGATGGAGTTTAGGCATTTATGTGTTTATATGTGCATTCATTTCACATTGAGTCGTACAATCCGACTCCTCGGCCATCATGCATCGAGATGCGTGATTGGTGGCCAGAGGATCAAGGACTACACTCCCTAGAGCTTATGCAATGATGGGGAGAGTAGTCGTGCACACATGTGTTGCAAATACCTTGCCTTCTCTCTCTCTCTCTTGCCTTTGTTGTAGAAAAACCAGAAACCAGGGGCAGAAACTGGTCGGCCGACCAGCTTTTCTAGCAGGCCGACCACGCTTTTGGGTTTCTTCCGCAAAAGGTGGTCGATAGGTGGTCTCCAAGGCCATGAGCTGGTCGGCAGCCTTCCCATGGGTTCCAAGGGTGTAGTTTCAGCCTTCTGGAGCTTTGTGCAAGTTTCTGAGATCGATTGCAAACAAAGGCGAGTCGAGGCATCGTGATGGATTTCCCGACAAGGCGACTCGAGCATGCATGCATCCTTTATCATTCAAAGCAGAGCTGAGGCAGCCCATTTTACATAGTTTGCATACTAGTTTAGTTAATTTGTTAATTAGTTAGTGTTGTGTAATAACTAGTTCATTCGATTATGTATTATTCATTCGAACCCTCCGCGAGAGGGCGAACTTTGTAATAAGTGTGCGTGTGTGTGATGCATGTCTTCCAACCCCACGTCTTTCTCCCTTTTATTTACCAGCTTATGATGGTTAGTTTTAGGGCATATTTCAATTAGCATATGTATGTTCGCATGTTTGCATTCATTCATCTGTATTGCATGCACCGGGCTCGGTGCATCATGCTAACTGCATTGTATTTCAATTCCAAGTTAAATACATGTATCGATTGTTGCATCTCAATATGCCATCTTAGAATAGCTGAGCCTATTGTAGTTGTATTTTTGCATGTGTTGCACTAGGCATTTTTAGCATAGTTAGGATTCATGCATGATTTCTAATTAGCTTCTTTCTTTGGCTCGGAGTACTCGGTAAGTGTTTATACTTTAGCATCCTTGCATGTGTGTGAGTGACTGCCATGATAGCATGCTTACCATGAGGCTATGTGCTTATGTGATATAACAGCCTGAATGCCTGTGGCTGAAGGTTGGGTTGCTTAAGTTAGAATAATTTGTCGTAACTCGTGTTTTAGCCTACTTGCGAGTAGCAGACTTCAATCCATTTTCAAAATAAACGGATATGCGATGCTTTGTTCCAACTTAGGCAATCTAGTCTATACTTATATGCTGTGCGTATCACATAGTAATTTTAGGCTAATAAATCGAAATAAGAGCACATGTGTTTTCAAAAACTCGATATCATGCTTAGTAGTGGCCGATCTTCAATCGGGCGAGCAGGGGTGCTCATGAAATGACCTTCCCCAATCGTACCCAAGTTCCCGAGCCGAGGCGACTTTGGTGATGACGGACATGTGGGCTTAGG